GGGAAAAATTTTCAGTGATGGTGCACAGGATGTGCACACATCAAGAGTGGAATGGACATGTGCAATCACTCAAAGAACACCTACGCATCATTATCATAAATGCTCTGGCTCTGGCTACAGAGCCTGCCCCATCCAGTGAAGCCTGGAAAGAGGTCCTAGCCACCAGCTTACCTGCTACAATTGCTGCTGGAAACTCTTGCCCGGCATCCTCTGGCAACTTGTCCACAAACTTGAGAACATTGTCTCAGATGGAGAAATCATATCTAGCCAGCAGGCTTGCTGGTTTGAGATACAAAATTGGAGGCCAGCAGTAGAATAAATTTTTCTATTGAAAAGATCAAGTTTCTTTGCCTTTTTTTTGTCTTTGGAGTAGAAGATGGCTATCCCTCATTCACTGTGGAGTCCACCAAGGAACTCAGGGTGATGGTGGTAAAAGTGTGCATATCCCTATGAGGGCTCATGGTACCTCCACTCAGTCTTTTTGTCTGTTGGGGGCAGAGAAGAGGCATTTGCCACAATATCCTTGTGGGCTCCAGAATGGCCTTATTTATAGGGAGAGTTACTTGGGACATCCCTGCTGATCCCAAAATGTCTACTAACCTATAGGAGCTTTCTTGAACTATCTCCACTTGTATTACCTCTTTAACAGGTCCTTATAGGCCCTGTAATTGTCCTAAAGAGGTGAGGACATTTCAGATGCCACTGTCTCATTGGGTGATGATGATGAGGAACACAAAGGCCGAGGTGCTGTCTCCTATAACTCTTCCGATGGAGGTTCTGTCGGGGAATGGGGAGGATCTGGTGGTAGGAGGAAACCCCCATGGGCTCAAATATGGCCAGTGGTAGGGCACTGGACCCCAATCAAGGATCTGTGCCCCTCAACCAATGGAGAACCTCTATCAGATACCCAGGGTGAAAACCCCTCAGTGATGGAGAGTGATGCCTTGATCTCCGGCCCGAGATATGTATGAACCAACCTCTGATCCCAAAGAAGAGCCTGAGTCACCTGAAGAGGGGAGCATGGTACCGCTTGGTGTCGAGGTGCATTCTTGAGTCTCTGCAGACAACAGTACCGAAGGGAGCATACTGGGCTTGCCTCTGCATGGCACTGGGCAAGGAGACACAGGAGGGTCCAAAGTTGGCCATGGTATTGGAAGTTGACCTCTACCTGCAGGTAAGTCCAGTGCAGTCTGAGGATTCATCGATACCGGATGAGATATCTCCTGTACTGCTGGAGAGGCCAGTATCGAGAGGCAGAGGAAATCCTGGTATATGCCCCAGTGTTGGTTCCGAGAGGTTCCCCTGATGCGGCTGTTGTTGCATCGAAGGGGTCGGTACTGCAAAATGTGTTGGTCTCCGTGACATAGCCAGAGTGCTGGAGCTGATGACCCCATTGACTGAGATGCTGTCAGCACCGGGGAATACTTCTCCTCTGAGGATACTCTTCCCCACTTTCCAGACTGTTTTCTGGTTGACAGTCCTGGAAACCTTGGCCTCTTGGAGGATGAGTCCTTAGAAGCACTATGCTGATGCTTCTTTCCCAGTGCTGGGGAAGGAGAATGATGCCAAAACTCAGTAATGTCCCGAGTGGCACTTCTGACTGAAGTAAATGTACTTGGTGGCTGCCTCCGAAAAAAGGTTGCAGAATCTCATCTCCCTATTCTATTTAGTCTGGGGCTTAAAATCCATACAGATCTAACTCTTGTTCCAGAAGTGACACTTCCCGAAGCACTTCAGACACCTAGAATGAGGGTCAGCCACTGGCATGGATTTCCTGTAGCCAATGCCAGGTTTAAAACCCAGAGACCAAGGCATTCCCCAGTACCAGGCACCAGCACCCAGAAGAAATGGAAACTGACACTCCATTAAATTATGAAAAAAACTATTAATAAATGAAACTTACACTAAATTACCACTTCACTATATACAAGAGAAAAAACAAATTTCCTGAAAGAGAGAATACTTGCAGAAGCAAGCCAACACACTGACTACCAATCATGGGTGGTAAGAAGGACCTGAGGAGGAGTCGGGGTGGCTCTGCCCCGGATACCATCATGCAACAGCACAAGGCAGCAGAAGGAGCATGCGGTGCCCTGACAGGTACTGCTAAGGGGAAAATCTCTAACTCTGGTGCACTGAGCACCCATATACTTGAAGTGGACGGACAACTGCAATAACTTACGTTTTTTTCCCCCCAGGAGACACAATAGAAGCAATGGCAATTCGATCTTCCCTTCACTCTTTCCTCTCTAAAGTGCATTAACCCAGAGAGAATTGTGACCTTAAGAACCCCTCAATGCCAACGGGCAGTGGGTTCAATGTTCTATAACAGCAACTCTTATGAGGCCTGATAAACTCACTACACCTAACACACTGCTGTCATAGTATATATCTATAATTTCATGAGAGGTATCAAATGAAAGCTTAGATCAGACTGGTCATCATAAGCATTGTGAGATGTATGTGTAATTGGTACATAAGGAATTGTGTGTACCTACTAAGAATAACTTTTAAACTATGTAACCAGGAAGAGTTCACAAACAGTTTTTTTCCAGACAGGAGATAAGATGTATATCTCTCTGTCACATGTAATTAAGCCAACACAATGGAAGCCCCATTTGCATGTGAAGTCAACAGGAAAAACATGTTGCTGGGAGGGATGTGAAATCAACAGGGAGAACACTGAAGAACATTCAATGGGAGAGAAGAATCTTATCTGAGGGTGCACTTCAAAAGGGTCATTTCAAAGGTTTACTGGACTATATGAGGAAGGGAAAAGGATCCCTTTCTTATCCTTTCACTGAGGAGGCAAAAAGGACAGGGCTTTTTCCATTCATGAAAGTTGGATCCTAGCCAGGTGGGCTAGTGATTCTGGGAGGCTGCTTTAGGTGAGAAATTAGACAAGAACTTTAGTCTGTTAAAGTTAAGAGTCTAAAAAGAAAGTTATACCTTTTATTGTACATGTAACCTGTTGTTCTTGTTATCCTTGCTCACCAACTCTTAAATCTTAATCTAGTAAATAAACTTATTTGCTTTCACAATCAGTAGATTCCAGTGCTGTGTTGTCAGATCTGATCTGAGTTGTGCCAGTCAAACTGTGCATACTCTGTCTCTTTTGGAGACAGCATACCTGATTATTTCTGTGAGTGTCCAGTGACAGGGGCTGAATACCTCAGACGGGGATGCTGGCAGAGGGGCTTGAGGGTTGGTGTGTGTCTGTCACTAGCTGCACAGAGAGGGTAAGGTTTGCGGACATCTGGAAGTAACTGCTATGTCTGTGGCCAAAGGCTGTTGGTTTTAGGGAGCTGAGCTACAGCAGGCATCAGGCAAAACTACTTCATGTGAAGGGCAGGTACTGGCAAGGTACCTCACAAGCCTGAGTACTTCTGGGGAGCATCACAGGGCTGCACTGGGAGGTGAAAAAATAGTTGTGTCTTCATGTCCATTCAATTACCTGTCCTAGTGTGGCTGCCATTTAGTGACTGCTATAATAGTTGTTTAAAGTCTACCAGTTCATTTCTCAATTGCCACTGAACAGCGATCAGAAAATAATTACTTTTGATTACTATATGGACATAGACTTGATTTGATCCACTGACCTAGAGAAAAAAGATTCCTTATCTCATTATCCATCTATCACAGGGCAGGTCTCACCCTTGCAGCGTCTCCTGCTGGTCAGTCCAGGGAATTAGCGTTTCCAGCCTCCGGAGCACCTTCCGCAGGCGGTGTCCCGCTTGCCGCTGGGCCCGAGTCCCTCCTAGACCCCGGTGCCCCTTTCAGGCCGTGGTGCTGCCCCCGGCAGTACCCCTACAGATCTGGGTCACCCCTCCCCAGGGAATCCCCCCCCATCCTCACCTCACCTCAGTCTTTTGGCTACTGCCAGTCATCATCTAGCCCCCGCTCACTGGGGCAGACTGCAGTATAACTGCCACTCATCACTGGCAACAGGGGGTTTGGACCTGCTGCCTCTGCCTACACTAAGGCTGCCCTCTGCAACCCAAGTACCTTTTCCGGCCTGTAACAAGGCGTGCTGCCTGTGGGGTTTCTAGGTGGGAGCTCCCCAGCTCCTCTGGCCTTCCCCCCAGCTCTGCCTCACAGTACCTTTCTTTTGTCCTTTACCAAGGCCTGCAGCCTGGGGTGGTTTCTAAGCCAGAGCTCCCCAGCTCCTCTGACCTTCCCCCCAGCCCTGGTCCAGCCTCAGTACCCTGCTTAGCTCCTAGCAGCCAGGCCCATCCCTCTCCACATCTAGAGAGAGAGATTCTGTATGCTCCTGGCCCACTACCCTCTTATAAGGGCCAGCTGGGTCCTGATTGGGGCGTGGCCACATCTGTGGCTGGTTCCCCAGTCAGCCAAGGCTTGCTGCTTTTCCTAGCAGCAGCCCTCTCGCAGCCTCAGCCCTCTCCCAGGGCTGATTTCCAGCCCTTTAGGGCGGTAGCGGGTAGCCACCCTGCTACATCATCCCTGAGTCATTCAGGAGTTTTATTTTTAAATATTATTTGATCTGTGTTCTTAGGTTTTTATCTATAAGTTTATCGTCTATCTTTTTTTCTTTAAATTTAATCCCCCTTTTTTTTTAGAAAGAACACATTATATAGGACAAGGATTTAAGAATCTGGCAATTGTACTACAACATATATGAGCATGAAAGGCTGGCCGTCTACTGAGGCCAAAGCATATGGCTGAGTTGTTCTTTTCTTAAATACAGATTAGTGTTTTCCACCTTTAACTATTGCCAGCAGAGCACCATGTTCCTTAGCTACCTCCCTTGAAAGCAAATACTGCTTCTGAACATCAGCCAGTAATCTGGAAAATGTTACAAATTCCTGGCACCAGGCACTAAATTCTGTGTTACTTCCATGACATGCATGATCTTTCTGCTGGTTCAGAGTGGAGGATCTTGGATTGTGCATTATGTAACATTCCAGTACAAAACAGTTTCCCCTACACAGTTAGAAAATACTCTTTTTAATAGAAAGAGAGAAAAAATATGCAAGACTCACTCAATAAAGTAGACTTCCCCTTTTTCTGTGTAAGCCATTTCCCAATTATCAGGCAATGGGCCCAACTCATCATTCTCTTCAGGTTTTGTTTGCTTTGTTACATCCATATTCTCCTTTGCTTCTTCAGGCTGACTGTATACTGGCGCAGGATAAGGCTGGGAAGAAATCTCACCTGAGGCACCTGTACTCTTCTCTTCATGTTCACTCGATTCTACAAGAGAAGAAAAAAAGACTTTCTTATCCCTGTGTTCCTAACTCATTTACATAATGTGGAGGATTTTATTGCATCAAAGTCTGTGAAACTTCAAGTCTCCAGACAAAGACAAAGGTTTTATTGGTTTTACCTCCAAGAAGTTTTTTTTTACCTAGATTACAAAACAACAGCAACAAAAAACAACAAACCAAACCAAGAAAATAAAGAATCAGACATACAAGGGCAAACAAGCTTTTCATCGCACTGCAGGGCTCATGGGGTTCTGTGGAATATTTACCATATCTGCACATCATTGGTTCTACTCCTTAATGGTTCTTGCTTGCTCTCTCCCATGGGTTCTCCCAAATCAACTGCTAGCAGTGATGCAAAGGCAGCCTTTTATCCAGTAGTACTAGCTGTCATGGATCCACAGGATCAGTGCTACATCCCCAGCTTTGGAACTGTCCCTTGCAGGAACCCCTTTGATCTGCCAGATCCCCAGGGATCTCACTTTTTCTTCAAGGTAGGCCACATGGCCTCACCCACTCCTCAGACTGAACCTCTGGGCTTTAGCACTCCTGCTTCATACTGTGAGCTCTGTCCACTGACAGAGAAAGACTCCTGGTGTAGAGTTGTCCACTCTTCAGGGACTAATGTGCTTCACCAAGTATTTATAAGAACACTCAAGCAGTGTTTTCAAAACAGTAGGGTTTATTAGTCAACTGGAACACATCATAAGAAGTCCTTAGGTCGGAGATTCTCAAACTGTGGTCCAGGGACCACCAGTGGTTCGCGAGCTCCATTCAGGTGGTCCACGCATAGTTTCTGCTAAGGTGCGCACCTGGGTGGCTGCACACAAGAGAATGAAGGGCCATCCAGCTAATCAGTGGAGCTGCGCAGGCGTGGCTCCACTAATTAGGTGCCTGGACCCTGGAGAAGACGCACATCTAAGGTGAGGTGGTGGCCGTGGGGGGAATAGGAGGTAGGTGGGAGGGAGAAGTAGGGTGAGAAGAGGGGTGGGGGGAATTTGGGACGTGCAGGGCTGTGGCGGCCAGAGAAAGAGGCAACTTTCCCCAGCTCCAGGGCTATGGCTTCCCTCCCTCAGCTCTGTGGCCGCTGTGACAGGAGAGAGACCCCCCTCCTTCCCAGTCCAGCTCAGTAGCTGCTGCGGCAGGGGAGAGAGGGAAAGACCCCACTCCTTCCCACTCCAGCTCGGGGGCTGCCACCGTGGGGAAGAGCGGGCACATCCATTGCATTAGCAAGGTAAGACTACTGATATTAAAATATGAGTTGTGTGCTTTTATTTGTAGAACAAAAAACATTTTTTATTATTATGATGGGGTTTTTTATATAGCGCTTTTATCCAAAGTGCTAGTTAGCTAACGGTAGAAACAATATTTGGAAAAATCATTAAGTGGTCCGCCAAGACCCTCAGCAATTTTCAAGTGGTCCACGAAAAAAAAAGTTTGAGAACCACTGCCTTAGGTTAAATCTTAATCCATTGTCATCAGCTGAGAGCCCCAGCCAAACTGTAGTGAACTCCATTTTCTGGCTCTGTGTGTCTCTCAGTCTGACCTACTTAGTCAGTCTCCAAGTGAGAGAGCTCGAGCTTCTTCCAGAGCTCACTCTTATCCTCACACCTCTAAGTCTTTTGTTCTCAAGCAGGGTCTTTGCTCAGCTTCCTTGCTGAGATGTGGGGAAATCCATGAGTCATTGGAGCTTGCAGTGCCTCTCTGACCCTCTTGCTGATCTGGGTTGGTTTCAACCATTTCTTAACGACTCTTCATTCCACCTAGACAAGGAGGTGATACACATGCCTATATCTCTTTTTCTGCTCTGAGAACAAATTTAATCCTTCCCCTTGCCCCACTGGTTAGCCATTATAGCCTGATCTATAGAGTATATTTTTATTATATTGATTACTTTAAGAATCCTCAGTTACCACTTTGAGGGTTGACGAGTTCTTGTCTGTCCTTTTCTATAATACTTTGTGCTAGTCAGCTTTTGGAGCTACGTTATCATCACCTTGGAGGAATACTATCCTCTTTTTTGATCAGATGTGAGGCACAGCTGAAGTGTCTGCCAAGGGACGGAGGTACTATAGAGAGAAGAATATGACAACATGGGCACCACTCCCTAAAGCACCCTTCTACTTGGAAGAGGGATCGCTCAGTGGTTTGAGCATTAGCCTACTAAACCCAGGGTTATGAGCTCAATCCTTGAGAGGGCCACTTAGGGATCTAGGGCAAAGTCAGTACTTGGTTCTGCTAGTGAAGGCAGGGGGCTGGACTCGATGACCTTCCAGTTCTATGAGATAGGTATATCTCCATATATTTTTAAGAGTGACTCATTAAAAATGACACCTTCTCACTCAGCAAATCTGCTCTCTGTGTATTAAGAATTATACCTGCTTACTTTGACTAACATAAGCTCCTGTTATTTTCTTCTTCTCTTAGCTCTGTAGAGTCAACACAGCTGTGAAAAGGATCTGGTTTCTTTTCTGTTTCACAATTTATCAACAAAACTGTTCATTCATTTCCAAAGGCTACCCCATTGTCTTGAGATTATTCCTACTGTAGGAATGAGGCCCAGTTCTGCATGTACATTGTGTTTCTGGAAGTGAAACAATGAGCATGTGAAAAAGAAGAGAGGGCATGTGTGGAGTCCTCTTCCATATTTTAGAGGTGGCTTCCTCATTTTAAGACCCTAGCAGCCAGTTTCTCCCTTCAACCGAAAGGGCAGCACCGGGGTACGAGTGTGCAGAGCAGAAGTGGAAGTGTACTGTCATCAATCAGAGGTTTCCGGTGTGCTCAGTGAGAAGGGGGCACCCATCAGGAAGACTCTTGAAACTGACATGCTTCTCAGCTTACTCCTAACATTGACTCTTAAAGCCGAATATCAAAACTCAATTAAAAATTACGAAACAGATAGCCAGGCCTGTCTGCTTGGAACTTATAGACCACCTCACTTTGGTGCACCTTAAAGAGCCTCCCCTGTAATGCAGCATCAGGTCAGACTCCCCTGGGATAATGAGGGAAGTCAAGCTACATGGAATTCCAGTTGAGAGGGAGAAAGGCACCAGTGAGTGGGTCTCAGCATGCCAAGGCAAACAAGGCAGTAGGGCTGATCCACTGGGAAAATGCAGAGAAAGTAGGGGAGGAATGCATCTGTTCATTGCCCTTCCTGGTCCCTTTGCCACTCCTCCACCCTGGAGAGAAGGCAGTAAACATCCCAGCTCACACTGGAATGGAATTGGAACTAGAACTAGCCCTGCTACCCCTGAGAAAGGCAAGGATGGAACTGGCTGGCTCCCCTCTCCTCCTTCCAGCTGATGGTTGACTGACAGTTGTGTGGAGAGGTTGTTCTACCTCCCTGCCCCCATCCTGCTGTCCAGACCTGCAGCCCCAGTAGTCGTACGCCCAGGGAGGGATAGCTCAGTGGTTTGAGCGTTGTCCTCCTAAACCCAGGGTTATGAGTTCAACCCTTGAGGGGGCCATTTAGGGATCAGGGCAAAAATCTGTCAGGGATGGTTCTTGGTCCTGCTAGTGAAAGCAGGGGACTGGACTTGATAACCTTTCAAGGTCCCTTCCAGTTCTATGAGATAGGTATATCTCTATATTAAAAAATCTTGGAGTCACTATGGATAGTTCACTGAAAACATCCACTCAATCTGCTGCAGCAGCAGCAGTCAAAAAAGCTAACAGAATGTTGGGAATCATTAAGAAAGGGATAGCTAATAAGACAGAAAATATTATATTGCCTCTATATAAATCCATAGCACGCACACATATTGAATACTGTGTG